TCTTTTGTAAACCATGAAATGAAATGGCTGGCTATCGGAACTAAATTTAAAAAGAGAAACTGTCATCTCTATAGCAGTAAAATCTCTATAAAACCATGTAAACTAATTACTAGGTTAAGTAAAATCACTGAAATATATCAGGACCTTCTCATGTCTCCAGGGCAGACGTAATACAATAATTCTCTAATAGTCACTCTGGGAAGATACTGTAATGGGCAGGAGGATGTCACTGTAATAGTCTCAGTTTTGGTTGGGAGACTTACAAAGACAATATTGATGATACATAAATCTTAGAATCTACTTGAATATTTCTTTTTACCTTTCCCCATTGAAGAGTGGAAAATATTTTGTATGTAATTTTTTAAAATTTGAGATCATTCAGGTATAGTGTTTTCTCATGTGGGTAAAAAATGTAAGAGCAAAACCTACCAGAAGGCTTGAAAACACACATACCATGGAAAACTTCATGTTCCCTTCAATTCCTAAAAAAGCACTACGTTTTAAGAAGATGTGTTCGTAATCCACAGTAAGTCAGCAGTATTGGATGAACTCACTGGAACGTGGAGTACATATTTATTTTTTGGTGCTGGGGATGGAACCCAAGGTCTCACATGTACTAGGCAAGCGTTCTACCACTGAGCTATTGCCCTAGTTCTGAATGTTTATCTCATTAGATCATTTTACATACACATATATTTAAAGTTGTGACATTGTTTTCTAAAGTCTCAAACTATTCTTACACTCAGCCCAGAAGATAATCCTGGCTTACCACTCTGGATTATAACTGTTGGTGTATGTTTTTCCCATGGATAAATTACCCTCAGTGTAGGTTTATCAGTGACTTCTGAATGCACTGCTAACTTTTTCTAGAGATGTGAATTAAAGATAAGAATTTCTTCTGAATGTCACCAGCCTCCAAAAACACAATTCCACTCCATAGAAAAGTCCCTGTCTCCCTGATGTCAAGGCTGTGATTCGTGGAGAGTGGTATGAACCAGACCTCTAGAAAGTGCTTGAGTATTGGGCCATAAGCTGGGGGGATAGTCCACTAGGAAAAAAACCAAGAAAACATGTTAACATTTATCTGCCCCAATGGCTTATGCATTAAAAGCTGGACACCCTCCCCAACTCCCATTAAATGGAGGGAAACCTTCAAGCTGGTTGGGTTCTCTCCTCTGTGTGTGAACCTGCCATTGCCGGGCCGGACTGTGCATCCCTTTAGAATTGATAATAAGGTTCAAGAGAGAGCTGTGGCCCTCACTAAGTGTGTCACCCCTACTTAGCACATTCTAGGATGCCAGCCACTATTGTTTTACTATGTCCCCGATCAGCTGTCACTATTCATAAAGTAATCACTGCTATTAACACGTCACGCCTCAAGCCATCTGCTGCAGCATTGCATATACCAAGCTGTTGGTCGCAAGCAAAGTAAGTGTCACCTAAGGACAGTGCAGCAGTAAAGGTGGGAGGTCATCACAGTGAAAGAAGATATGTCAGATAATCCCACATTTTGATGTTATAGTATGATAGGTCATGATATATA